TCCTGCCAGCAGGCAGCCGCGTCCTGCAGCTTCCCCAAAGCCTGACCTGTCCGGTGCGGACCGTCTCCTCACCCCGTCCCTCTGGTCACCTCTGGAGGCAGGCCTGAGGGTCATCTGACAGATGGGGAAACTGAGGCTCTGAGGAGCTGTGGGGCTTGTCCAGGAGCCTCCCAGCTGGGAAACAGCCCGAGCCAGGCTCCCGACTGTACGTGGGAGGCCCTTCCTCTGCCCTCGGGCCCCTTCCCGTCGAGTCTCCCCCAGGACGTCTCCTGCTGCCCATTCCAACGACCAGTTCTCACTGCTCCTGCCTTTAAAGACGAGGGTCCCTGTCCCACAGCATCTTCCCGGTCCCCAGTGCTGTGCGGCCTGGAGCAAAGTGGCTGTGACCCTGGAGAGAGATGGGCAGCATCACAGGCCTGGGTGAGATTCCTGGCACCTTGCTCTGCCACCCACCAGCTGGGAGGTGTCTGTCAGGCAAGGCCTTGCTCTGGAGCCTTGGCTTCCCCATCTGTGTGATGAGTATAAGGTGCTGACCTTGGGGCTGGCTGCCTGCACAGGGCAGAGACACTGGGCCAAGGGGGGACCCATGTCCTGGGCATGGCACTCAGGGAAGGCCAAAGACTTCATCACGCAACTCAGAAAGCTTATAAATTGTTTTTCTTTCTTTAAAGGTATGTTTTTATTGATTTGAGAGAGAGAGGAAGGGAAGGGAGACAGATAGAAACATCGATACGAGAGAAACAGCAACATCGACAGGCTGCCTCCTGCATGACCCCTGCTGGGAATCAAGCCGGAAACCTGGGCATGTGCCCTGACTGGGAATCGAACCGGCGACCTCTTGGTACATGGGTTGAGGCTCAGCCCCTGAGCCACACCAGCCGAGATGAATTGTTTATTTCGGAAAGTTTCCATTTACTATTCTCGGACCAAATGTGACTGTGGGTAACTGAGCCATGGGAGTCAAACTGTGGGTAAGGGGCTGCTGTAGGAGACACGGTTCACATTCCTGGCTCAGGACTTCCTGGCTGTGCGGCCTGGAGTAATAACTATCCTTCGTGCTTGTCTCCACCTGTTAGAGCTGGTAAGGCGCCGGGGCTGGGAGGGCATACGTGTGAGACACGACACACCAAAATGAGATAAGAAGTCGACAGGCCCGTACATGAGGAGAGCCGTGAGAGCCGCTCCGGGAAGGGGAATAACCAGTGAGCACACCTGGGGGAGGAGCCTCATCGCCTGGGATGTACACTGAGTGGCCAGGTTATGATGATCTCTGAGCGCACAATGATCTGGCCACTCAGTGTATATATATTATAGTCCCGGTGCATGAATTCGTGCATGGGGGGTCTGGCCAGCGTGGTCGGGGTTGCGGGGGGGAGGGGGGGAGAGGAGGGGGAGGGCGGGAGAGACATGGGCAGTTGGCCGGCCTGCCTGCTGGTTGAACTCCTGGTTGAGGGGACAACTTGCATATTAGCCTTTTACTATATATGATATATGCTGAGTGGCCAGATTATTATGCGTTCAGAGGTCATCATAATCTGGCCACTCAGTATATATATTTTTGAAAAATAAGGCTTGCTTGGGGACACTCCAACCTAGGGGTATACATTCCCCAGCCCCCGCCTCCGGCCAGCGGCCACTCTGGCCGCTGTGAAACGCCAGGAACACGGATGTAGTCGTGCCCGCGCAGAAGGCTGTGCCCAGGAAACGTGCGGAGGGGCAGGGTGGGCCTTAGTACCAGGGTGCCCACGGGACTTTTCTTGAGAACCCAATATTAGGGCCAACGCTCAAAGCTAAGGCCAAGGCATGCTAAGTCCCCACTCTCTGCCGGGAGTCATGTAGGAGCTGCCAGCAAGGCCAGCCGCTGCCCACCCACCACGAACTAAGGGGCCATGGGAGCATACCCTTGGCAAACCCACCTACCCATGCCTCCCCTCGAACCCCGACCCCAAAGGTGCTCCCATCTACACTGGTTTCCAGCTCCCAACCACTTCCCCCATTACCGGCCTACGCTTCACTCTCGTCTGAAGTCACAGACACTGGCCTGCGCAGGCTCATGCTCCGCCGCTGAGTCCTCGGGGCAGAGCGCTCCTCCCCATAGCTGTGACGCCCTCAAAGGAGGAACCAATGCCATCACCTTTTTAAAAATCAACTTTAATGTGTTTTTAATAATTTTTGCCTCATTTATCAGATAAATCATCTAAATAAATAGATGCTATACAGTCTGTTACCAATATCAGTACAAAAATAAACCCGAGTTCTGCATCCATCCGGCTCTGCCCGGCACACACCCGCTCAGAAGAGGCACGTGCTGGGACGGTCCATGCCAGCCCTCCCGATACATTCATTTCGTCTGAACAAAGCTCACTGCTCATTCTGTGCAAAGGAAGCGTTCTTGTGCTGAGACCCGGAGGCCAGGCTGGCCACTTCTAAGGCCAAAGCTACCCAGAAGCATAGCGCCTTCCCAGCAGGGGAGGAGGGGAGGTTGGCAATGGGACCCATGGGTAAGATCATGGGCTCGGCTGCGGCATCAGGAGTGGCCTTGCCAGGGGTGGAGGACCATCTCCTGCCCGGACCCACGGCGAAAAAAAGTACCAACTACATTCAAATGGGTGGGGGGCGGCAGGGAGGCAGGAGGTCCAGTCTCTGGCCTTCAGTGCGGACGCGAGGCGAGGTGCGAGTGGGGGACACTCAGGGCTGGGAGGCGGCCACCCAACCCCCTCACAGAGGTCTATGTGCTGGGGGCGGGCCCTTCCTAACAGGCCCCAGCCCTTCCCAGGGAGCAGGCTCTGCAGGTGTCAGCCCTCCCGGGGACACAGGACACTGGGCCGCGAAGGGCTGAGTCAGAGGCAAGAGGGTCTGGTTGCTGCTGCCTCATTCCAACAGGCCCCAAGCCGCGGGTCTGCAAATCGCACAGGCAGCGTATGGGGACGCACTGCCCGCTCCTCCTGGGGCGCGTTTTCTGAGATATAGTGTGGTGTTTTCCCGTAGCTTGAAGCAAACAGCCTGCACCTGCAGAAGCAAGATAAGGTACACTCCCCTGCCGCCTGGGGCACCCCCCACACCCTGCTATCTTCCAAGGACTTCCTGTCCGGGCGGCTCCCTGCGGGACGCGGCCCTGACTGTGGCCTGTGAGGGAACACGAGCTCTCCTCCGCCGACACCGCACAGGGCGCTCCGTCTCTCTCGGCCTGGCTCCCGGTGGTTCGGACCTAACACACTCTCCGGGAGGCCCATGAGCCAGGACGAGGTCCTGTGTCCCTGGGGAATGAGGGTGACTTATGCTGGAAGCTGCCAGCCTGTCCCAAAGTCGTGAGCAAACAGCATTCAACAGAGCCCTCCCAGCCCACCCTCTCCAGCGCCTCGGCTGGGAGCCCGGCCTGGGAAGGTCCCCCACTCCAGCTGCCTTTCCCTGCCCCCCTGACTCACCCCCACGTGCCTCTAGATTCAACTCCCAGGCTGGGGTGTGAATCAAGTCCCCGAGCAGGGACTGGCCCCAATGGAAGCACTGAATTACCCTGGACAGTGAAGAAACGAGGAAGGGGCGAGGGACCAGGGATTTGAGAATCTTGCCCGCGGGGCACCCAACACAGAACCGGGTGCAGTGTCTTTGGTTTGGGAACTGGGGAGGGGCTGGGGGAGGGATAGCCCTATCCTTGCCTCAGGACACAGCAGGAGGGCGGCCTGGAGGGCAGGCGGAATGGCGGAAGGGTGCAGGGCCAGCCTGGTGGCCTTTCCTGCCTGCAGGGCTGGGACGGGGCAGAAGCCACTCCTCACGGCCAGGGGAGCTACCAGTCCCCAGGGCACATTGGTGCAAACTGGAAAGTGAGTGCCCTCCGCTGGCAGACACAGCCCGTGCTGGAGGACGGCCTGGGGCTGGTGCGCAGCCTGCCCCGCCCCCGGCAGCCTGCCCGTGGAAGACACAGGCCGGCCCCGCCTGGGCATGGAGGGGGGCAGCGGGGGCACAGGATGCAGGAGGCGGGCGGAGGGAGTTGAGGCTGCCCTGAGAAGGTGGGGGACTCCCTCCCTCCCTGACCACGCACACCCGCCTTGGCTGAGTTGGGGAGAGGGCGAAAGAGGGGAGGGGGAAGGGCTGAAAGGTCACCTGAGTCAGAGAACAGAGCCCCTCGGGACCAAGCGCAGGCCCCCCTGCAGGCGCTCCCACGCTGCAGCTGGCCGGGCGAAGCCGCACACCACACGCGTGCCCGGAGCAGCAGGGGCCACCTGCCATGCCAGACCCTGCCCACAGCTTCCAGGGAACGAAGGGAGTAGGGCCAGATCCGGTCACGTGACCGGCCATGCCAGGTGGGTGAGCATGTGGTGCCCGGGGCAAGTTCTTTTGTGCTGTGATCACCTCACATTCACCTGATCAGGTTTCTAAATAGGAGGTTTGCAGGACCCGTTGCACATGCCTGCAGTTACATGCACACACTCACGGGCAGGGGGGCAAGGTGCGTGCACACGGGTGCAGCTGGGGCTGGGGGGGGTCGTCTTGTGAGGGGGACTGGTGCAGCTCTCAGCAGGAGGCCTCTGCTGGCAGCTGCCAGGGAGAGGAGAGACCCCTCTAAGGGTAGACTCAGGACCCTGCAGCCATCTCTAACCTTCCTCTGGCCCCCAACCGCCCTCTGGGCAAAGGCAGCCTCCACACCCTGCAGGCTGGATGCCAGAGGCAAAGGCATCAGGCCTCGGGCTGGGCGCTGCTGTGTCTGGGGAGAATGGTGATGGGGTGTCCGGAGGTGGCCCTGTCCCCAATCTGCTCTGGAGATGGTGCCCAAACTGACGGAGCAGTGCCAGGCACCCAGCCCTGCAGAAACAGACCAGAGGCCTCTCTGTAAACATCACCCACAGAGAAAGGGGAGGGTGGTGGGAGAGTGTTGGGATCTTCCCCCTCCTCCCGTTTCATATTTTTAAATAAAATAATTACCCGTCCCTAGGCCCCTCCCCACCTCTGGAAGTCCCCACCCCGAGCCCCAAAGAAAGCAGTCTGAGAGCAGACACGGGGACTCAGAACTTCCCGCGGCGGTCTCGGAAGAAGCCCTCGGCGGCCTGGGCCTCGCGGAAGGTGACGGTGACGGAGTTGGCGGTGATATCTGTCACTGTCACTTCACTGGTGGGGAGCGCGGGTGTCCAGGGAGGGGGCCCCTCGGCCAGGTCTGCATCCGCTACTGCCGTGGGAGAAAGACAGACGGACAGCTGAGGGCAGCGCCGACAAGCAGGCGGGGAAGGTGGGAGCAGGTGGCAGCATGCAGACTATCCCCGCCCCTCGCACCAGGCCGTCCTGTCTCCAGCCAGGCCAGGCCAGGCCGGCGCGGACTGGACAATGGGAGGTCATGCCATTCTCTTTCCTGGCAGCACCGCAGGAAGCCCTGGGCGGGCGCCAGGGTCCTGGCGGGCTGTGTGGCCTCCGAGCGCCCCGTGCCCGCTCTGGGCACAGGCCGCCTGGACCTGATGACTCGGGGAGGGTCTCGGGCCGGGCCGCCTTACCCTCCTCCTCGGGGGGCTGCGCGGCAGGCTCCCACTCGCTGGCTGCCCGCAGGACGTCCGGCGCCGGCGCCTCCTGCAGGGAGAGCTCCCGTGGATGGCTGTGACTCTCCAGGCTGGGCCCGCGGGGCGGGAACTTCTTGCGTGAGAGCCGCAGGTACTTGTGGGCCTTGCGGGGCTTGCGGAGCGGGAAGGGCAGGGCGGGCACCAAGGGGCCCTTGTCCTCCAGCTCGGGCGCCCCCGCCTTGACCACCCCCTCGGGGCTCCCGCTGCTGAGCGGGCGCGTCAGGGAGAAGCAGAGCTTCTCCTCGCCCTGGGCCTTGTGGGCGCTCCGCAGGTCCATGCTGTACAGCCGCTGCGGGGGAAGCCAGGGCGCGGCGGTCAGCCCGGCCTCCCACCCGCCGCGCCTGTGCTCATGCTGTTCCGCCCACCGGAGCGCCCGTCCCCGTGTTTCGTGGCCCAGAGGCAGCCGTCACCCAGCCCAGCCCAGAGCCGTTCTTACCAGTCCCAGCCCTACAGCCCCCAGGCAGCCTCCGCTCCCCGGGGGGCTGTGCGGGCTCAGGACGGAGGCCACAGGCACGGCCTGCGCACACAGCGGAGGCCCGCGCCGGGGGTGCGAGAAAGCCACGTGGGCTCACGGAGCAGCGGCTGTGCAGGCCGAGGCCTCTGGACGCCCTGCCTCGCTGTTAAAATGGGCTGAAAGGAAGGTTCTGCCACTTGTCGCGGCTGGGCTTTGCGGTCGGGGGCTTGTCTTGCTGCGCCGGGGTAACTCACACAGGCCCAGGAGGATCCTTGCGCTAAGATGTGGGGAGGGCTAGATCACCATGGTCAGTGCCTGCTACTGCCACCTGCACCGGAGGCCAAGCGCGCCCGGAGAGACCGAGGCAGCAGGTGGGACCGAGGGCCAGGCACCTCCAGGTGGAAGCAAACATCACACGTGCAGGCTCCGTTCCAGGCCCCCCTGCTCAGGCCCCCCAGGGGCCTGGGGTGCAGGCTGCCTGGGTGATGGGAGGACGGCTGAGCTGGGAGGGCAGTGGGAAAATAAGGCCGTGCTCGGAGGGCTTATCCTCTAGGTAGCTTTATCAAAACCCTCCGCCTGGCCTGCAGGCCCTCCCAAGCCCAGGAAACCCTCTGCAAGATGGACTCATCTCTGTCCTCGCCTCCCAGGAGAGCTGCCAGCGGCCCCGCAGCAGCAGTCCGATCTGGGCCTTACTGCTCTGACTCTGGGTAAGCTGCCGGCCTCCCTGAGCTTCGTTCGGCTCCAAGGTGGAGCCAGCCTCCAAGATGGCCCCAACAATACCCCCCTGGGAATCCACACCCATGGGGTCCCTTTCGGTGGAGGGGGTAAGCGGGGGGACGGCCAAGGCGAGGCCATTAAGATGCTGTGCTCCTTCCTCCCTCTTTCTTGGATCACCCGCTCCGGGGGAAGCCAGGGGCCCTGTGAGATCCCTCTGCAGCCCTCGGGAGGACCCCGGGGGAAGGAACAGCCCCGCAGCACCTGACACGCCCGGGAGCAGTGCTGTGAGCCCAGCCCATCACGCCTGCAGAGCAGGGGATCCCTGGCGACATGGCTGCACCCGAACTGGGATCCCTGAAGAACCAGCGGATGCCCCCCGAGCTCCTGATCATCGACACTGTGTGAATCCCACGTGTTTGCTGCTTCAAGGTGCTTAGTTAGGGGACTTATTCCACAGAAACAGATAGCACACCTTCCCCAGACGTTTGTCCATTGAAGAGCACTGAGCACAGAGCTGAGCATGGAGGTGTCTGACAGACATCTTTCCGTTTACACCGAGCCCAGGGGGCAGGCCCCGAGCATCAGGGCGGCCTCTGTCTGCCTAGAGCCCAGGTGATCTACAAGCCGAGTGGACAGGAGGCCGGACGGGACTCACCTGCTCGTGGACCAGGAAGACTTGCTTTTGGTTCCCACCCCCTGGATGGGCCTCACACTGAAGGAGAGCAGGCGATTTTACGGAGTGGAGAACGCAGGCTCAGAAGCCAATCGCCTAACAGGATGGCCTCAAATCACAAAAGTGCGTTATTCAGACTCCACCTTCTTTTTGGAGCAAAGCAGTGAGGTGGGCATGGTGCCCCAAGACCTGGGCATCAGTTTGCCACGGGGTCTAGACCCACCTGTGGCAGAGAACCAGGAAAGGATGGCACATTTCTAGGACATTCCACGACTGTGGGTCCAGAATGCCGACACTCCTTTGCTTGAATTCTAGAATCCCAGGCTCTCATGTTTCCTCAGTTCTAGTTTTGTCTCGAAGGACCTCAAATATTACAACTGTGTGCTTTAGGGATTCTGACTATCAAAGTTGTAAGCTTTTGAGATTCTAGGAGTCCATGAGCCATATGTCCACTCTCCTTCCCACCACAGCACCTCACTTCCTGCGCGCCGGCCCACATTCCCACTTTTCCCACCTACTCCCCCTGGCCTTCTCCCCAGGGGCCTCCGCGCACACTCTGGCGGGGCTGGGAGGGCAGTGGGTCAGCTCACCAGCTGGGCACGGGGGTGAGCACGGGACTGGGCGGGCACCGCCGCCGGCCGGTTACCTGCAGCAGAAGCCGCTTGGGTTTCGGACCTCTCTTCCTATACCCCGACGCTCGGTCTCTCTCCTCCCTGGTGCGAAGCAGAGGGGGAGAAAAGAAACACTGGTGACATGTGAGGGAAAGTAGGGCTCCTCCACCCTGCCCCCTGCATCTCTGGAGAGGGGCATTTCACAGACTCCCCCCTCCCCTCCGGGCCCGGATGGGGCCCCTCCCTGTTGCTCTCTTCAGGCTGTAACCACGGGGGCACATGTTGAACTCCGAAGCCTCGGTCTTCCCAGCTTCCAGAGCCAACGGCACAGCCCGGGGCCCGCTGAGGGGGCTCCAGTGGTAACCCCCAAAGTGCGTGGCTCTTTCCGGGCCAGGCTCATGCCAGCGCGCCGCTCCGGTGCTACTGGCGCCACCTCCCCCAGAGCGAGTTCCAGTTTCCACCCCAGGGGAGTGCACGGAGCCTGTCAACCAAGTCGGCCTGGAATGCCCCAGGGCACTGGTGGGACTGGGAAGGACCCCTCCCACTTTTGGCTCTTAAGAGCCGTGAGAGATGTCCCTAGTATTTATGGAAATGGAAAGTAGGCAGGCTAAAATAATAAAGAGGAAGGAGAGAGAGGGAGGAAAAAGGAGAGAGAAGAGGGGGAGGGGGAAAGAGAAGAGCCTGGGGGAAATATGTTAATTATTTACCTGACTTATTTATTACGATGACCACATACTGGACACTGCTCTAAAGGCTTTAACCCTCATACCATCCTACGAGGGAGGTACTATTACTACCCTCATTTTATAGCTGAGAAACTGAGGCACAGAGAGGTTGAGCAACACGTTGGCAAATTATTACACCTCCCGCCGTTGGTGAGAATGCTAAGCTCTGGTTCCAAACTTGGGAGGGTCAGGCCTCGGGTCCTGTCAGGGTCAGTAGGTCAGGCCTGGAGCCCAGGCCGTGTGGTTCTGGCTTCTAATATGCAGCCCCTCCCCATTTGCTGTCTGCAAGCTGCGGGGAGTGCAGGTGAGAGGGTGAGGCAGGGCTTTTACTCTGTCCAGCCCTCACCAGCTCACACCTGGAATCCGTCAGATGCTCCCTCCATTGTGTCCAGAGCTAAAGAGCAGAGACCGCCACAGAGTCGGGAACGCCCCCTCCCGCCCCCCCCCGCCCCCCCAGTGGAGCCCCCTCGCTGGCCTCCCGAGTCTCATTAAAACCTGCAAAGCATGTGTTAAATGGGCCTCACTGCTTCTACTTCCTTTTTACCAAGACAGAGGAGTGAGAGTAACACAGTGGGCCTGCACAAGTCTCCGAGTTCGCCCTTAACTATTGACTTCTGACTCAAAATAGCACGCCAATAGTCTACCAGGACTCATCTGCCCTCCCTGAACGGTGCCACCCCTCCTTCAGATGCCCCTGCCTCCCTCACTGCCCCCTTCACCCCCAGCCTCCCAGCTTACGCCACTCCAGCCAGCCACACTCAGAGCCACACTCGCCTCCATGCTGCTCCTCACAGACCCCACCTCAGGGCCTTTGCACGCCCTGTGCCTCACCCTGTTCTCTCTGTACCCCCTGGGCTCAGTCCCTCACTTCATCAGGTCTCTCCTCAAACACCCAGCTCACTCCCCGGGAAACCAGCACCCCTGCCCCCCGTCCCCTGCCCTGTCTTTGCAGCAGGGATCAGCCTCTGATATGGTACACGTATGTCAGAGCACTGTGTATTGCGTGTCTCCACACAGGTGTGAGCCACAGGGGGTAGGGACGTTTGTTGCCTTTGTGCCTTGCTGGGACCCCAGCACTGGAACAGTGCCTGGCACCTGCTATGACCTCAATCAAGACTTGCTGAATAAGCCAGAGGATGACTAGCTGACCCCCAATTACCACCAGAAGATTCTCACACTCAGAAGATACTGCCCACACTCAAGGTCTGCAGAGTGCTTCCCTTCCACATGCCTTTGTTTCCCAAGAAGCCCCAAGGTCAGCACCTTATACCCATCGCACAGGTGGGGAAGCTGAGGCTCAGAGGGCAAGGCCTTGCCTGACACCTCACAGCTGGTGGGTGGCAGAGCCAGGTGCCAGGAATCTCACCCAGGCCTGTGATGCTGCCCATCTCTCTCCAGGGTCACAGCCACTTTGTTCCAGGCCGCACAGCACTGGGGACCAGGAAGATGCTGTGGGACAGGGACCCTCGTCTTTAAAGGCAGGAGCAGTGAGAACTGGTCGTTGGAATGGGCAGCAGGAGACGTTCTGGGGGAGACTCGACGGGAAGGGGCCCGAGGGCAGAGGAAGGGCCTCCCACGTACAGTCGGGAGCCTGGCTCGGGCTGTTTCCCAGCTGGGAGGCTCCTGGACAAGCCCCACAGCTCCTCAGAGCCTCAGTTTCCCCATCTGTCAGATGACCCTCAGGCCTGCCTCCAGAGGTGACCAGAGGGACGGGGTGAGGAGACGGTCCGCAGCGGACAGGTCAGGCTTTGGGGAAGCTGCAGGACGCGGCTGCCTGCTGGCAGGAGCTCAGTGCCTCTGGCCTCTCACAGCAGCGGGAATGGCTGGTGCTGCTCACAGGGCCCCACGCCAGCAGGAGGACATGCTGTCCCAGGCTCCCCGCTGAGAGCCCTCCTCCCGGGTGTGGGAGGAGCTGCCCGTCACTAACACCCTGGAGCTGAGCGGAGCGCTGGCAGATGTGGGAGACGGAGCCCTGATGGCTTTGCCCAGGGCCAGCAGCTAGGAGGGGCAGAGTGGGGAGGACCAGAACCAGCTGCCCAGGTTCCAAAGTCACAAGGCCCACAGGCGTTTCCTGAGCTTCATCAGGTGTATTCTCTTGCTAAGGGACCTGCAGGGCATGTCTCTGATCTCCCGGCCAGGCTGGCATGGGCATTACTGCTATTGCTGCTCCTCACACAGAGGGCATCACCAGGACACATGTTTACATTCATCACGGCGACTGAAAGCCCTACCTTATGGAGAAGCCGCAGCAGGAGTTATTGGGGCGGCCCCGTTGCAGCAGAGACCGAGGCCTGGGGAGGGGAGGGAAGTGGCCAACATCACCCAGCAACAGGAAAGCAACCAGGGCCCCGTTGCCCTGGAGCTGGTGCCCACCACCTTCCCCCAGCTGCAGACACGACCGAGTGTCCCTGCGGACCCCATCCTGCCCGTGCCCGGGCCTTGTTCAGAGCCAAGGCAGATCGAGCTGCTTGCGGACCAGCCCGGCCCGAGCAGGCTGAGCCCCTTACTTCTCCTCGTAGGCCATGACCAGGCGAGGGTCCAGGATGTGCTCTTCTGGCTCCCACGTGCTGTACCTGGGAGGGAAACGAGAGGTCAGAGCTGCCCCGCTCTCCCTGCATTCAAGAAGTCACAGCTGCTCCGCCCAGGCCCGCTGTCCGCAGGCCCTCACCCCTTCCTGGCCCAGAAAATTGTCACCTGCTCCTCAGAGCTGCTCCAGATGGCCCCGCGAGGTCAGGGCCTCCTAGGGATTCCAATGACACCAGAGCCACCTCATGCTGAGCACTCATCATTCCATCTACAGATGGTGTGTGAGACGCTATGTCCGCCTCAGCAGCGCAGTGGACCTGTGAGAGGGCAGGGCGGTACGCCCCACAGGCCCTTCCGAGAAGGGGTGAAGGCAGGGGCCTAGTTTGAATCCCAGCTCTGCCTTTGGAAGCTGTAAAACCTTGAACAATTTCCCTAAGGTCTTTGTGCCTCGATTTCCCCGTGTGCAGAAGACTCTGCTGGAAAAAGCACTCGTGTGTCTAAGTGTTTGGAGCAGAGCCTGGCACACAGAATTGCTCTGTGCTTATCACTTGCTATCCCCACTCCTTTCTCAAACCCCAGCCCCAGCACAGCCTCTCTTGCCGGCTGAGCTGCTCCCTGCCTTCTGGGCATCTGTGCCATCGAGGCCAGGTCTGAAGGGCCTGGTGTCGGGGCCTGGTACACAGCAGGAATTTGGTAAATGTCTAGCACCAGTCATTGGCGAGGATCCGCTAGGATTTTCCCCAGGGGACCCCCCCACTCCCGGGCCAGAGGGTGCTCCCTGCGGGGACAGGCCTGGCCTGAGACAGCGCAGCACTTCCTGAGCTCAGCCATCGTGTTCCCCTGCTCCGTTATTTACTTAGAATCTGCCTTTAAGCAGCTCACTGTTTCATCTATTTAAAAAAAATTTTTTTTAAACTGTCTATGACTTTTGTAATTGGAATAAAACAGTACCATTCACTATAAACAGATGCTAGCATTTAAAAATTAAAAATTTTAAACATATAGGTGTGCATATGTGCATGCATACAAATAAATATACATGCAAACATACAATTATGCCTTTGGGTACATGTGCACACATGCATGCACAGACAAAGCCTGAGCACCGGACTGTGACCTGGCGGAGGCGGCACCAGCTCCGCTGGATGGGAAGGGAGAGGCGGTCTCAGGGACAGGTCCCACAGCTGCTCAGGGAAGGGTTAGGAAGCAGGAAGAGGCTGCCCTATGGCCTCCGAACAAGCTAAGCTGAAAACTTCATCTGAAATGGTCCCGGGGCTGTGAAGCCTACAGCTGTCCCATCTAGACCAAACAACAAGCTGCCCGAGACCAGAACCCTCTGCTCCTTTCTCCACAGACACTGCTGCACGGCTGCCCCGTAACCCAGCCCTGAAGGGCCGAGCCCTGAGGACCACAGAGCCCATAGCCAGTGCCACCGGCTCAGCCTGGGCAGGCACAGTCACACCGCTCTTCCTCCGTCCAGGCTCTGCGGTCCGCCCGGATGGTCCCTCGGGAGGACTCTCCTCATCCCACAGGAGCCAGGTTCCTGTAGATCCTCTCCCAGCGGGGCGAACCGTCCCCCCTCGCTGCCCGTGGCACCTGCCATAGTTACTGACGAAGGGTGCAGCCTGGGGCGGTGGGCAGACTGTAACCCCTCCCCACCGCACTCAGCCGCCCGGCCCCACGTGCTCTGGGGATGGCTCTAGAAGCCACTGCGGTTTCGCTCACCCCGAAGAAATGTGAAACTAAAAAAAAGAAAAAGTGAAACTGAAACTGGTTATATGTTTATTTTGGTAAAACCCAAACTATGACCAACCAGAGGCTCACAGTTTGATTTCCTCAAGGTTGGGTTTTCTCAGCTGAAACTGGTTACAAGGGGAATTTTGGTTCCTGCTGTGGGCTGCCTCCTTCTTTCTCAGGCTGGTGAAATGTCCCCGCCTTATTCTAATCCTCTCTGCCCTTCCCAGTTCCCCACCTCCTTACCCTTTTTTGTTGATACTGCTGCAGTGTGGTTCCTGGCAAGTCCCTAATTTTCTCTAGATCCCAGCTTCCTTGTCGTAGAATCACTAGCGGCACCACAGACATTAACAGCAGGAGTGAGAGCAGACTACTGCCGGGGGCTCATCCATCCCTCTTAACACCCTTATGAGGTAGGTGACCCGTTTTAGAGATGAAGACACTGAGGCCCGAGGGTAAGCATCTTGCCCAGGCCCTGTGACAGTGAGTGGGCAGTCTGTGGTTGGCTATCGGCCATGCTCTACCTTCGGAGACCTCACATGTCATGCATTGAGCTGGGATGTCCTGGGGAGAGGGGCACTGCCTAACTAACCAAGTCCTCATGTCTGACCTGGGGCCTGGCACACGGAAAAGGTTGGTAGATTCAGAGGGGCCTGCTGTTAGCGTGGGGCATCCATCAGTGGGATCTGAGACAGTAACAGAGGGTCAGAGCTGGCAGCAGGAGGGCATGGGGAGATGGATTGCACAAGCATCTGTCCATCACCTGGGCTCCCCCAAAATGGAGGCCACCAGTGGCCATCCAGAGATAAACCTCATAGGGAACCGGAGGCGGCTTGGTCCGCACCTAGGCGCCAGGGGGCGGGCTGGGCGGGAGCAGGGAGCGCCGCGGGGGGCGGGGGACCGCTAGGCCCCGCCCCGCCCCGCCCGCCCGCTCCTCGCATCACCGGCGCCGCGCGCGCGCGCAGGAGGCGCGTCCGGATGACAGGGCCGCCAATGGGGGGCGAGGGCGGGGACGGCGCGTGCCCGCTGCGAGGTAAACACGGCCACGTGACCGGGCTGGGTAAACAGGCGGCGGCAGCTGCTCCCGCCGCTGTGCGCAGGCTCCGCGGTGCGGGCGGCCGGCGCCCCACTGGCCAGGCCCGCTCGGGCCTCCCACCCCGTGTGATGGGGCTCCACGGAGATCAGCCGCGGGGCTGGGGGATCTGGGGGGCCAGCCACAGGGGTGGCTTTGAGCTGATTCAGATCTCATTTTACCTCTGCGTGAAGGAGGGCTACTAACACGGTCCCTAGGGTTGATGTAATTATTAGTTGTGTTAAGCCTGTGAAGCGCTTAGTTCAGTATGGTAGGTAATAAAAGCAGGTAAGCATTCATTAAGTCAATTTCGAAAGCCTAGAAAGCACTAAAAGCTGCCAGGCCCGAATCCTGGACTCTGCCACTGCCCAAGCCGTTTTGGAGGAGAAAGAAGCGCCCTCCCCGCGACTGACACCTTTGGGCACCTTGTGCGGCTGGGGCCTCCTTTTTACAAGTAGCGAGACGGAGATGCAGAGGTTGAGGACTTTAAATATATAGAACAGAGTTCAAAGCAGGCTGGTCTGGCTCCACAGTCTGAGCACATCTCACTGAGTGGACCATCAGACCATCATCCTGGGTCACCTTTGCCAGAGCCGCTGTGTATCAAAGGGGCCAGACCTGCAAGCTCTGGGGGCAGGCATCCCGTAATCCAAATCATCCCAGCTGTGTGACCTGGGCTAGGGCTCCTCTGCTGAGGATTTCTGTCTTCCCATCTGTAAAATGGGTTGCCATAAATCAGTTCAATAGACAACGTCTGATCATAGGAGGGACTTACTGATGAGCAGCCTGGTTATTGCTGTGCCCACTGACAAATCACTGGGAGAGCAGTCACCCCGAAGATGCGGTAGCATTTTAGTGAAAGCGGAAGGAAGGACCAGTCCTGAGCAGACTGCGACGAGAGTAGGCTGGCTGATCGTTTCTTCGGGCTGAGAGCACCTGCAGCTGATTTAACATCCTCTGCCTGTGAGCCAGCCCTTCCCTGTGTCCCCAGCCCTTCTCTGTGCTATCTGCTGCTGTACCTTCCATAACTACCAGCCAGCTCCTCTGCCCCACCTGCTGGGGAGGCAGGGCAGTCATTTGTTTGCCATTTGGAGAGAAAATAGGCAAAGCATTTTCGGGCACAGAGCGAGCATTCTGCTGTTTCTGTTGCCTAACGTAGGCCTCCCTGGCCAGGGTGAGCCAGGAGGATCTGGATTCCTCCCCGCTTAGGCTGGCATTGCCCTCGCCAAGGCTCCCAGGCCTGCAGGTTGCAGCCTGCCCAACTCCCACTGCCCAGAAGCCAGGAGCGCCAGTGCTCAGGGAGCCAATGCCTGCTGCCCCTGGCACCCTCTCTTAGTCCTCCCGCACTCTTACTGCTTCTGCGCCCAGGCTGCGAGTCCACGTTCATCTGCCCGGTGGACCCTCCCTCAGTGCTGGAGTGTGTGAGGAGGGGCAGGAGGAATGGACAGCCACCAACTCCAATCATCAGAATGTCCCACAAGGTAAAGGAGGCTGTGGGGGCTGGGGGGGGGGGGGGGCGGACGGGGGGGGGGGGCAGGACCTTGACTATTGAACCCATTTTACACATACGGATGTTGAGGCACCACGGACCATTATCCTCTCTGCCTCTCTCCCCCAGGACACTTCCAGGACCGATGCAGGTCAGTTCCCCCACTCCACCCCCATGGCACAGCACTGCACAGAGGCTCTGAGCAGAGGGGGATTCCAGGAGTCAGTTTCTGCTAGGCAGGGCGGGGAGGAGGGGCACCTACAGGCCAATGGGAAGGCCCCACGACTCCCTCGGTCCTCACCCCCTCAAATAGCTCCCTGCTGGGAGGTGATTGGTTGGTGTGAAGGTTCTAATTGGGTCTCAGCGTGAGAGGTGGGGAGACTGGGAGAGGTCCTAGACCAGCTCCCTGCCCCCCAACTCTGAGATGGAAGAGGCACAGAGGAGACACCTGAAAATGGGGAGGCCTACTTCAACTCTTCCCCACTTGCTGTGTGATCTAAGGCAAGCTGCTTACCTTCGCGAAGCCTGTTTCCACTTCTTTAGAGATTCCTATCCCACCTGGCTCGCCAGACTGAATGGGAACCTGCTCTGGAGGGGGCAGAGAGCTGTCCAAAGGCAGGGTGGGCTCAGACTGTCCCTAGTTCTATGTCACTGAGGACTCATGCGCCGCCGCCAGCCTGGTCTTACCCCTGCCCAGCCCCTCCACGCAGCCAGCCGGCATCGCTGAACCCTAGATGCTGGGCCTTCACCTCCCAGGGGCCAAGAAAAGCCTGAAAGAGGGGAAGAGGGTGCCTCCAACTCCTGAGGGAACTTAACCGGAGGGAGCAGGTGAGAGGGGCAACTGGGGCCCGCCTTGACCTCCATGTGCTCCAAGCCCCTCAGCTGGCAGGGGGAACGGAAAGCTAGAGAAGATGATTTAATCGAGGCCTGCCGGCCACGCCAGAGCAGCTGGAGCTGAAGTTAGGCGGAGAGAGGGCACAGGGTGGGCGGAGGGGTGTACAGGCAGACGCACACACAAAGGACCTTACTTTGGGGGCCATCCTTTCCACTTCACCAGATACTCGACTTTGCCCTGGGAAGAGAGAGAAGCAGACACAGTGAGATGCACAGCTGGCCCGATGACCACCCACAGGACAGTAAGGCCTGACCCCCCCTGCAGATAGATGTCCCCTAACACAAATACAGAGATCCCCCATCAGATCCCCATCAACCCAAAGACACCCCCCTCCCCCAACTCTGGCTGCCATGACCACCCCAGATGGTCCTCCCTACTGGAGCACAGAAGTGCACCTGGCCCCAGACACCTCTGGGCTCCTGAGGCAGCAGCCTGGCACTCAGGTCACACATGGGGAAACTAAGACCACAGGGGGTGTGCATCAACTAAGATCCAGGGTCTAGAATCCAAGTGCTAAGACCATTTTAGATCAGAAGACTCTCCAAGTCATAGAAATCTGCTCAGCCTCAATCCCACCAGGCTGCCTCTGACCCAGAGGGGACAGGCCAGTGAGTCTCTCAACTCAAAAGACCTGGAGGACCCCGGAGTAGCTGACAAACCTCCACCGAGGGAAGATGGCCACTCCTCCAGTCGTTAGAAAATAGAGCCGACCCCTCCCCTCCTCAGAGCTGAGAGGGGCTTTTATAAAGTTTCCGCCAAACCCCACCCAATGGGTGAAGCCCTCCACATGGGAACTTTGAGGCCAAGATGCTACCTCTTCAAGGAGGCCTGCCCAGCCACCCTTTCTGATGCCAGCCTCCCCCTCACGGTGTGCAGCACAGAGCCCGCGGGCTGGCACAGTGTCCCCTCTGCCAGGATGCCAGCTCGGTGAGGGGAGGGGTGATCCCTCCCTGGGGGTTAGAAATCTGTTTTGAATGAATGGCTGGAAGAAGGACGCTCCTGGCTCTCTGGCACTACCCTTCCGGCCTGGCTGGAAGAGGGTAATCACTGTAGCTGCTTGGGCTGCATCCATGACAAGCCCTGGGCTCTGGGGAATAAATTAAAATCGAGGAAACGCTGGAGGATGTGAGGAAGAGGAGGAGGAGGGCAGCCCCAACCTGAAGACAGGGTTCAGCCCCATCAGAGAAGGGGAAGAAAAGAAGCTCATGGCCCAGCCGGTTTGGCTCAGTGGATAGAGCCTCGGCCTTCGGACTGAAGCTTCCAGGGTTGGATTCCCGTCAAAGGCACAAGCCCATGTTGCAGACTCAATCCCCAGTAGGGGGCGTGCAGGAGGCAGACGATCAATGATTCTCATCTTTGATGTTTATCTCTGCTTTCCCTTTCTCTCTGAAATCAATGAAAATATATTTTTTTTTTAAAAGAAAGGAAAGAAGCTCATGGACCACCTTGATCTTGAGCTCAAGATGCCACGACTGCGTTCTCTCTCACAAAAGAAGAGCTGGCCACCAGCCAATTAGGGCTCTTTGCTCTCCCGCCGTCGCTGACGCCTCCTGTGACTTTGATCAGTTCACTGTCCCGGCCCGGGCCTGGGTGTCTGCCTCCCCCACCCCGCCCGGAGCCCCCGGGCTGCAGAGGAGCGGGGGAAAGGCTGGTGGTGAGCGCCGCAGGGGGCTTCCCCCACGACCCCCGCCTCCACCCTGGGGGGGCGACCCACCCTGCAGACCCGCCCAGCCGGGAGGCGCGGCCCGAACCCCGAACCCCGAACCCCGCGGACGCCTCCCTAAGGGCAGGTGGGTGTCACGGAGGCGAAGGGGGCGGAGCCGCGCCGGGGGCGGCCCCAGGGGCGGGGCTGGGAGTTGGGGTGGGGAGAGCGGAGGGGTGTGCGCCCGGAGGAGGAGAAAGATGGAGGTGGGAGTGGGGAGGGGCGCGGAGAAGGTCCAAGTCCAGCCGGTAGGCTTCGGAGGCCGGAGCCCCGCCCCCAACTCCAGAGGTCTTGGTACCAAGAGTCCAGAGTCCTGTGTTCGAGACCCAGTTCCGACGCGAGCGCACTTGGCGAGCCGGTTCCTCCACTTGGGCCTCAGTCTCCCCACGTTTGGAGGCGGGGGAGGGGGAGGCAGGATGGCGTCCTCCGGGATCCCTACGGGCCGGTCCTGACCTCCAGTCCTGGCGGGCTCGGCGGCCCCCTGCATCCCGGGGCGACAACTTTCATTCTACTCGCCCCGCCAGGTGCCGGGGGAAACGGAGGCACCCACCGGCTGGGGCGACAAGCCCGGCCGCGCGAGGCCGCCCGGGCCCCCCGCCACGCGCTTCCCCGCGCCCCCGGCGTGGAGGGGACTCCGCCGGGGTCCCGGGAGCCGCCCCCCGCAGCCTCACCTTCCGCACGCGCTTCTTCCGGATGCTCTCCACGGCGAACACCTGCTCGCCGATGGCTGACAGCTCCATGCGGGGCGGCGGGCGAGCGGCCCGGGGCCGGGCCGGGCCGGGCCGGGGGCGGAGCTGCGGGCCCGCGGCTGCGGCGCGCGATGCTCGGGCCGGCGGCGGGGTCCCGGTCACCCTCGCCCGGGCGCGCACGCGCACGCGCACGCGCGCACACCCCCTCGCGCTCCCTCACGCCGACGACGTTCCATTTTTGAACCTGCGCAACGTTTTCCCCGGCGCGAGCGAGCGGAGGAGCGCGCGGGGGTGGGCGGGGCGGGGGCTCGGCGCGCTCCCGACAGGCCCGCCCCTCCCTCACCGCCGGCCCCGCCCCGCGGGAGCCCCGCCCTCTTCTCAGGCCCCGCCCCCGCGGGAGCGCTGCCCTCTCCGCTGGCCCCGCCCCGCGGGAGCCCCGCCCTCGCTCCAGGCCCCGCCCCTCTCCGCAGGCCCCGCCCCGCCCTCCCGAGAGGCAGCGTCCGCGCAGCCCCGGGCGACTCCGGGTCCGGGCGAGGTCTCAGCGCCGAGATGCGTTTCCTGAAAGCCTCCCGGGGACTCGGATGGGCCGGAGCGGCATGGCCGGGATGGACCGATGGGGAAGCGGGCAGAGGTTCCCCCGCTAAGGAGCAGGGGGCCGCGGGGGCGGCACGGCCCGGGCTTCCCCACCTGTCGCGACATCGCGCCCCGCGGTCCCCCCAAACCCGAGCTGCGGAGGGCGCCGCCGCAGGGCGGCCCCGCCACGTCCAGCGTTCCGTCCGCCCGCCCGCCCGCCCGCCCGGCGGCCCGTGGGCGAGTGCGGACGCCGCCGGGTCCGAGGCGGGCGCGTCTGCAGGGCCGGCGAGGCGGTCATCGCGGCAGGCGGCGCGGCGGTGACAGCTGCGCGCGGGGCGGCCTCGCTGCCCGCTGCCCGGGGCGCTGGGCGCACACCGGGCGCAGCTCTTCGTGGACGGAACGGACCTGGAGGATCGGGACGGACTCGTTAGATGCACCCGTTCCAAACCACCCTCTGCTCCTTCCCGCACCGCCGCTCTTCCTCGCGGGGAGCCCGGAGCCATCGGTGCCCGGCGGCTCCCAGCGCCGACGGCAGCCCGTCCCCATCCCCGGCCGCCTCACCCTCTGCCCTCGCCTGTCCCGGGCGACACCGCGACCCTGGCCCAGGTGCCCTCCCTCCCTCTCTCCTTCCCTCCTCCCTCCTCCCTCCCTCCGCCGAGCCAGGCCGGGCCGCACGCCGCCGGAGCGCTTTCTGAAAGGCGCGTCGCACCGGGTCGGCCCGGAGCTTACAACACTCCCCGACTCCCCCTTTCCTCTCGGAGCCAAGTGCAAACGCTCCTGTCTGGGGCTCAGGGAACGAAGAAGGGACACTTTATATCTCACTTTTTTATCTGAAGCCACGGAAGCCAGAAGGCAGAGGAATTAAAGATAACCATCACCATCACCGGTGAAAATTTCTTTCAAAAACTAGATACCCGGTGAAAATATCCTGCCAGAACGAAGGGAAGTAACATTTACAAATGGGAAAACTAAGAGTTTTATCACTAGCAGCTTCTCTTAAAGGACACTCCAAAGAAGGGACTTCAGGCAGGAGGAAGCGATCACAGACAGATCTAATGCGATAGGGAATGGAGAATATTGAAAATACAAAACAGTGACCGTGTCTTCTGGATGAAAATAGAGCTCAGCTACACACCGACAATGAACTTGGGTGACCGGAGTTGGTGTTCTAAGCTCCTTATATTCTCCCCGAGGAAAGGGAAGGTAGATACACGAAATGCACTTAAACTTGGAGGAGCTAATAATGCAGCTGTCATTACAGGGTAAACGTTAAAAGGATGGAAGTGCAGTGCATGATATTTATGAGAGGGCAAAAAATAGAATGAGAAAACCCAATCAACCCTAAAGTAAGCAAGGATGGAGAGAAAAATAAATATAAGATAGATGGGACAGATAGAGGACAGATACAGTATAATTCAATAAATGCAACTGAACTAAATGCTGCAGATAAAATACTAATCTTCTCACACTGGATAAAACCCAAGTGTGTGCAATTTGCAAGAGACACCCACAGGAGAAGCTTCTGAAACACAGGGGTGCTGAAAGAGTGACAGTAAACAGATGGGGAAAGAGCATGCAAAGACGGACCAACAGAAGGCTAATGCAGTTTTTTTAATGTCAGAGAAAAACAAAACAAAACACCATCATAGAAATAAAGAAGGTCCCTTCATAATGAAAACGGTCCAATTCACAAGAAAGATAGAACAATTTCAAATTTGCATGCAAATAGTCTTAAAATATAAGAAACTCAAAGAAGAGAACAACACAGAAAAGTAGACCAATCCACAGTACCAGTGGGAGATTTTAAAACACATCCCTCTGAAATTGGTAGAATAAGCAGATACATATTCAATAAGGATATGATTAAGACACGTGTCTAATGGGCTTTTCTAGAACATCCTGGCTTCAGCTGCAGAATACTCTCCTTCTCAAGATGTGTGGAATATTCACAAAACCAGTGAATCTCAAGAAATTTCAAGTCTGAAATCAGATAGAGTGTGTATGTGTGTGTGTGTGTGTGTGTGTGTGTGTGTGTGTGTGTGTATATTTTTTTTTTTTTTTAACCACAACACAAATAAGCCAGACCTAATTTAAAAGCCCCATATGTTTGGGAATTAAGAAATACATCTCGCCAAAACCGGTTTGGCTCAGTGGTAGAGCGTCAGTCTGCGGACTGAAAGGTCCCAGGTTCGATTCCGGTCAAGGGCATGTACGTTGGTTGCGGGCACATCCCTGGTAGAGGATGTGCAAGAGGCAGCAAGATGGTCGATGTTTCTCTCTCATCAATGTTTCTAGCTCTCTATCTCTCTCCCTTCCTCTCTGTAAAAAATCAATTAAAAATATATTTTTTAAAAAAGAAATACATCTCTAAATAACTGAGGGATTAAAAAAGAAATCATATAAAAATTATCATGGAAATTATAAAATATTTGTAGCTGAATGGGAGTGAAAGTATTACATTTTAAAATAATGTGGGGTACAAGACTTAAAGGGAAGTCTATGGCTTGCAATGCTTATATTACAAAAAAGAAAAGGCTGAAAGTAATACGTAAGAGCCCAACTCAAGAAGCTAGAAAACAGACCTTGCTGGTTTGGCTTAATGGATAGAGCATCAGCCTGCAGACTGGGGGGTCTCAGGTTCGATTCTGGCCAAGGGCACATGGTTGTGGGCTCAATCCCCAGTAGGGGATTCTCTTTCATCATTGATGTTTCTATCTCTCTATCCCTCTCCCTTTCTCTCTGAAATCAATAAAGAAATATATATATATTTTTTAAAAAGAAGCTAGTAAACAAAGGAAGTCAGAGTAAAGATAAGTACAGAAAAGAATAAAATACAACCAGCAAAACAAAAAAATATTTCCAGGAAAAGACTAATAGTTTTGATGACCCTCTGATGAGACTGATCGAGGTAAAAGGGAAGGCACCACTAACCAATATCAAGAATGAAAAGCTAGAGAGGCTGCCGACATCACAAAAAAAAAAAAAAAAAAAAAAAAAAAAAAAAAAAAAAAGAGGAAATATAAATGATATTATGAATAACTATTACAGTAGCTTAAATTTTTTAATGAAATGGGCAAATCCCTAAAAAAGTATAACTTGGCAAAACTGAAAAGAAAACCTGAATGCATATTGGTCCTGGTCATGGTACCCTCCCATTCCCCCCCCCTCCCCTTCCCCCTCCCCCCCCCCCCCCCCCCCCGGCTGTGCCTGGCATTAAAGAGGCCCCTGGCTGTGCCTGGCATTAAAGCTTCGATCTCCTCAATGGAAGGTCTAGGGGTGAAGGGTGGCGAGGGGTGGCTCTGTACCAACTGGTATGGAACTATTGGGGTGCCTTAGCACCTGACGTTCCGTGGCATGAGCTGAATATCAAACCTTCCCATAACCATTTAAAAAAATCGAATCAATCATCAGTTTCCACAAGGAAAACTCAGGTCCAGAAGGCTTCACCTGCAAGTTATTTAAAGAAAAAATAATAATTCCGGTCTTACCCCAACCTTTCTACCTAATAGAAAAGGAGGAATGCTTCCCAGCTCTCTCTATGGCAAGTCCAGTACCAAAACAATCACAGGCCAACATCACTCATAAGCATAGATATGAAACTCCTAAACAAAGCAAGCCTGGCAGTCTATAAAAAATGGTAACACATCGTGGCAACATCGGGCTCATCCAGGAATGCCAGGTTAACTTAATCGTTGAAAATCAGTCAACTCACCACATTGAAGTTAGAGGAGGAAGTAGATGGTAACCTCAAAAGAGACCAGAAAGTTCAACATCTGTGTGTGTTAGAGCTTGTAGCAAACAAGGACCACAAGGCATGCCTCCGTCCAGGTCTTCACAAAAAACCGAAACCGACAGCATCTCTCCTAATGGACGGTAAGAGCATTCCCTTTCCGATGGTCCAGGCAAGGATGGCTGCAAACTCCATTCCCATCAAACACCGGGTGTCCCAGATCTGAGTTGCCCACTACGGTAGCCGCTAGCCACCTGTGACCACTGAGAACTTGAAATGTGACTATTCCGAAATGAGATGTAAGAGCAAAATTTAATACACGTTGGACTTAAAGGACTTAAGTATGAAAAAAAATTTAAAATCTCATTAATTTTATATTGATTACATATGGAAACAATATTATTTTTGAGACATAGGATCACATGAAATGTGTCATAAAAATTACTTTCACCTGCCTATTTAATTTTTTAATGTAGCTATTAGAAATTTTCACATTATACATGTGGCCTGCATAGATGGACAGTGCTGTCTTAGACAGTAAGATAACAAAATAAAGCAGAGGTGGAAAGATTAGAAATAAGCAAAACTGTCATTATTTTCAGATTTATATAGAAAATCCAAAAAAAAAATTCTTCAGGTTATTAATTAGTCAATTTAAAATATCAATATACAAACGTGTTTTGTATTTCTCTATGCCAGCAATAAACAAAAATAAATCACTTATAATGAAGAAAAAGTTATCACAATG